TATAGGAAGGGAAGAGGCTCCAAATAAGTAAAGCATTACTCAAGAAGAAGAACCTTACCTGACTTTAGAACCTGTTATACCACCATGGTAGTCAAAACAGCCTGTTACTGGTACAACAACAGATACATAGACCAACTGAACAGAATTGAGAATCCAGACATAAATTCATCCACCTATGAGTAGCTGACGTTTGACAAAGGCCCAAAGTCCGTTAACTGGGGAAAGGACAGTCTCTTTAACAAATGGTGCTGCCATAACAGGATATCCATCTACAGAAAACTGAAACAGGACCCATACCTCGCACCATGCACAAAATCTAACTCAAAATGGATCAAAGACTTAAATATAAAATCAAAAACGATAAAGATCATGGAAGAAAAAACAGGGACAACGCTAGGAGCCCTAATACAAGGCATAAACACAATACGAGGCATACGTAACAATGCACAAACACCAGAAAAGAGACTAGATAACTGGGAGCTCCTAAAAGTCAAATACTTTTGCTCATCAAAAGACTTAATACAAGGCATAAACAGAATACGAAGCATAAGTAACAATGCACAAACACCAGAAAAGAGACTAGATAACTGGGAGCTCCTAAAAATCAAATACTTATATGCTCATCAAAAGACTTCACCAAAAGAGTCAAAAGACAACCTACAGATTGGGAAAATATTTTTGACTATGACAAATCCGATCAGCATCTAATCTCTAAAAGCTACAAGATACTGCCAAAACCTCAAGAACAAAAAGACAAATAACCCAACTGAAAAATGGGCAAAGGATATGAACAGGGACTTCACCAAAGAAGATATTCAGGCAGCTAACAAACACATGAAGAAATGCTCACGATCTTTGGCCATTAGAGAAATGCAGATCAAAACAGCAAGGAGATATCATCTTACCCTGACAAGGCTAGCATTAATCCAAAAAACACAAAATAATAAATGCTGGAGAGGTTGTGGAGAGACTGGAACACTTATACGCTGCTGTTGGGAATGTAAAATGTTACAGCCACTTTGCAAATCGATTTGGCGCTTCCTTAAAAAGCTAGAAATAGAAGTACCATACGATCCAGCTATCCCGCTCCTTGGAATATATCCTAGAGAAATAAGAGCCATCACACAAATAGATAGATGCACACCCATGTTCACTGCAGCAGTGTTCACAATAGCAAAAAGATGGAAACAACCTAGGTGCCCATCAAGGGACAAATGGATAAACCGATTATGGTATATCCGCACAATGGAATACTACGCAACAATAAAGAACAATGATGAAACATAGAGGCAGCTGGAGGTCATTATGCTGAGTGAATTTAGTCAGTCACAGAAGGACAAATATTGTAATAAGACCACTATTATAAGAACTCAAAAAAAGGTTTAAACACAGAAGAAAACATTCTTTGATGATTATGAGGGTGGGGAGGGAGGGTGAGGGTTATTTACTAACTAGATAGTGGATAAGAATTATCTTAGGTGAAGGGAAGGACAGCACACACTACAGGGCAAATCAGCACAACTGGACTAAACCAAAGCTAAGAACTTTCCTGAATACAGTCAAACACTTTGAGGGACAGAGTAGCAGGGGTAGGGATCTGGGGACCATGGTTTCAGGGGACATCTAGGTCAATTGGCATAACAAAGCTTATTAAGAAAATGTTCTGCATCCTACTTTGGTGAGTGGCATCTGGGGTCTTAGAAACTTGCAAGTGGCCATCTAACATGCATCAATTGGTCCCAACCACCTGGAGTAAAGGAGAATGAAGAACACCAAAGACACAAGGAAAGTATTAGCCCAAAATACAGAAAGGACCATATGAACTAGAGACTTCATCAGCCTGAGACCAGAAGAACTAGATGGTGCCCGGCTACCAACAATGACCGCCCTGACAGGGAACACAACAGAGAGGCCCGAATGGAGCAGGAGAAAGGTGGGGTACAGAACTCAATTTCTAGTAAAAAGACCAGACTTAATGGTCTGACTGAGACTGGAGGAACCCCAGCAGGCATGGCCCCTGGGTTCTCTATCAGTCCAGAACTAAAACAGTTTCCGACGCCAACTCTTCAGACAGGGATTGGACTGTACTGTGGGACATAAAGGGATACTCGTGAGGAGTGTGCCTCTTAGCTCAATTGGATACAAGAGACTAAATGGGCAGCGTCTGTCTAGAGGTGAAATGCGAAGGCAGAGAGGGTTAGGAGCTGGTTGAATGGACATGGGGAATCAGAGGTGGAAAGGAGGAGTGTGCTGTCACAGTATGGGAAGAGCAGTTAGGGTCACATAACAATGTATGTATAAATTTTTGTACTGGAAAAAATATAAAATGCATGAAGCACTCATGGTTTCTAAAGCCCTTTTATATGTAGTTCATATTTGATTCTATATAAGCAAATATGTGTTAAATTTCATGTTGATCATAGATCTTTATAAACAAAGATTCACTTTTAAAATACAGAAAAATAATTTGTCGATAAGATTTCATTTCTAGAAAGTCCTGCATTGGCATATCTTTCTGCTACCTAACTTTTTTTTTTAATCCATAGTTATTCAGGAAAAGCTTAAGACATCCTGGGTAAAAATGGATTAACTCATTTAGAGTCTTTTAATGCCAATATGTCTGTTTACTTATTAGCTGTTCTATCAGAGGTGGCCATCTGCCTTGTTATTTAAATCAATATTTCATATTAATGATTCCAGAGCCACTTCCTTGTTAGTATCCAACCTGAGGCAATGTTGTGTGCAGTGCCCGGGAGAGCAAATGGGGCCTCATTTTCCTAGGTTAGCTAATAATCTATACCTCTTGCCCTGCTGGGTTTTGTGAGCTTTAATTTCTTGATGGCCTGTTGGGCTTGAGAAGCAAAATGTGAACTGTGTTAGAAAGCATGATCATTGTGAGATCTGAGTGAGCCCGACAACATCTGTGCTTCTGCCTTCATGGTTAATTGCTGAGCCCCTGATTGTGTGTGGTGGCTGGAATAGCTGCCTCACTAGCCGTCGTTAAGAGTGCAAGGACATGAGAGCAAAGAGCAAGATTGTCTCTGCCTGGGGTAGGTCCTGCCTGCCAAAAGTCTGCCCCTCTCTCTGACAAACCATGCTGTCTGCCAGCCAGCGTTCATTTCTTATTGCTAACTTTGGATTGGATAATGATAAAAACAAAAATGTCTATGTTCACCCTTAAGAATTAAGCGAAGGTTCATACCCTTTAACCATGTCATTCTACTTCTAGGAAGTATCCTAAGGAAATAATTACTAGAAATCTGTATGAAGATTTACGTACAAGGATATTCATCATACCATTGTTCATAATTGCAAAAATTGTAAATGGCCTAAACTTTCAATGGTAAGGATATTGGCTAAATAAATTGTGGTATATCCTAATCATGGAATAGCATTCTACCATGAAAAATCATATTCTTAAAGAATATGTTCTATAAAAATAGTAAAATGCATATAGTGCATTGTGAAATGAAAAATATAAGACATAAAACATTATGTATAGTTGAGTGGTATCCTCTCAACATATAGAAAAAAAGACAGGAAGTGTAGAAACAAAATTATTAACAGTGAGTCTCTTTGGGTAATGGAATAATAGGTCACTTTTTTTCTCTTTTCTCTTTTGTCCAAATTTTCTACAGTGAGCATATATGAATTTTTATAATGCAGAACAAAAAATAATACTTTAAAGAGAAAAAGAAAAGAAAGTGTACATCTTTCTGCTGAAAAACTTAGAAAGCATTTAAAGTTATTGGTATGTCAGGTGGAAGCTTATGGACATGGAATGCATTGGGAAGGAAAGACTGAGACAAAATACAAAGGAAAAAGACCAAGTCTCAGGGAATATTGGACAAGGATAGAAAATCAAAAACCAGCCAAGTAGACAATGGGGTATAAAGGCACAGCCCTCTAAGTCCTGACATTTTTACAGACACATTTTGATGGCAAGATGGTCGTGGGCTCCTGTAGATCCAGTCAGAAGAGGGCCACCCCCAGTCCGCCTGGCCTGAGAAGAGGCAGTGAGAGGGTGGCCTTCTCCTACTGGAGCCGTGCCAGCCTCCATAGAGGAGCCCCATGTTGCAGTTTCTCACGGTCTTGCGTTGTGGCCAGAAGAGCTCACACAGCACGCCTCGAGTGCCGGAGTTTATGACAGCCTTCATTGAATGGGGTCTTAACTTCCAGGAAAAACACTGACTAGCACAAAATCCATAAATTTGGTCATGGGAATGCTCAGAATAGGGCTCAGTATTCTTTCAAAGATGATGGAACATAGCTGTTTGTGAGTTCCATGTGGCATTTTGGATCCATGACTTTCAGTTTTTGCTTTGTTTTCCAAGTCACAACATGATGTACCATTCTTGTAGCAAGGAGAAGTCTCAGAATGAAATAAATATTTTTTATGCAAAAATAGCCCACAGACCTATAACAATTGCCATTATTACGTGGATTCCACAGACTTTTGACCTCTGCTTAAGCTTTAAGCATGTATGAACAGACTGTTCTAGTGTCTAAAGTAAAACGTGTGTGTGTGTGTGTGTGTGTGTGTGTATGTGTGTTTCCCCCAAAAGACAGCAAAAGGCAGAGGGAAGGCCTGCATTCTTACCAGGACGTTGGCTCGGCGGAGGTCCATCGCATGGGGCTTTAATTGATTTGTGGCCGTGATAGGGCAGCGAGTCTTCAAGAAGACTTTTGTTCTTTTTCCCACAATATAAAAATCTGACTGCATTCTGCTGAGGACTTTTCTCCATTTCTTTTCATTTAAAAAAAAAAGGTCAATTCCTGGCATGGTGCCCTGGCTGCTGAGTGAGCAAGACCAAAGAAAGTCAAGAAATTTCCATCACGCCCATTTGGGTTTGTGTAGAGCAGTGTGTAAACTCAGACGTGGGCTGCTCTGCCTCCCCTCCCTCGAGCGCCAGTCCTCTCTTGAAAGTACTGAGTAAATTCTAGAGATATGCACGTCCCCGTCTTTCCAAATCTCTTAGCCTTTGAATTATACCCCCCAGGTAGAAGTGAAGGTGGTGCTCGGTCGCCTGGTGAAGCTGTTCAGGAGCCCGACCCTCTCAGGCCAGGATCTGCAGGCAGCAGCCAGTGAGAGCAGAGAAGCTGACTCCAGACCGCTGGTGTGTCAACAGCTGATCAGGCTCCTCCTCCTGAGCTTCCTGCTCTGGGCTCCTGGAGGCCACTCCATCGCCCGGGAAGTCATCACCTTTGTAAGTCTCCCCTGCTCTGGCATCCTCGTTCTCATCTGTGCTCCAGGTAAAAGGTGGGTTATCTACCCGAGGGTCCCGGCCTCTGAAGAGTGCTGTGTACCGTGAGCATATATAAATTTTTATAAAGCAGTATGCATATGTAAAACCCCAACATGGATTTTACCACTGGGATGGAGCCTGCCCTGTACAATACCTTTATGTCATAGAAGAGAAAACAAGCCTGGGGAAAGGAGATGACTTCTCCAGGTCACACAGCTTGTTGCCAGGGCCCATAGTAAAAGCCTGGTCCCCTGTCTCACTGTACTGTTCTCTCAGTTATAGTGCAGTGCCTCCCCACCCCTACCACCACATGCAAAGCAATGAGACTCAGTGAGAATGTGCTCACTAAGAAACCACACTGCTACTTGCTGTGTGGTTTAGGCCCTGTGTTAACCACAGAGAAATCCTCATGAGCCCAGAGGACATGGGTGTGAAGAACGACCCACATCAAAAAGGAGCTCCAGTATGCTGGCTCTGCAAGTTTTTCTTTTTGCTTTTACTTGTTTTACTTTTTATTAATATACACATACAACTAAATGAATGTTCACAAACCAAAATAGCCAAGCAACCAGCAACCAAATAAAGAGGGCAGTGTTCTGAGCACTCAGGAGCCCCTCCTGCTTCCTCCCTGAGCAGGCTCTGTTTTAACGTAAATGTGACTATGACGAAAGTCCCAGTGACAAGTCACCCACCATGCCAAGAACCAGCACCCAGGAGATTCTTGTCATATTGGCAAGAACAGTGTGAGCAGGCTCAGCCTCGGTAGCCAGCAGGCAGCCATTGGGTCCCTTGTCATGTGCTAGGCAGAGCCCTCCTGGGAGCCTGCGGGGTGGCTGAGCACAGAACAGGACTCTTCTGTCAAGGTGTGGGTGCCAGCTCCTCAGGACCCAGCCCCAGCCCCACGAGAACGCTTCAGTTCTCTATCGTGTAGTTTTATAAAATGCACACACACTCATTTCCAAGCCCATTTGGAGTGGGAGAAATCCCTGGGTGAGAGCTAAAAATGTCCATAGAACCTGGTATCAACCAGCTTTATCTGTGACTTAAGTTACGATACTCAGCCAGTGGTTGCTGTGAATAAAAGCAGTCTCCCTTCTTTTTCACTTAGCCAGTATTCTTGCAGGTAAAGATGCTCCCAGAGGCTCCTAGGTAAGGCCAGGAGGTCAACGGAGGAGATGTCTCTCTGCTGGGGGATTTGGTGGGGGCTTGCCTGCCAAGGGGAGCAGCAGGGCTGGCCGGGGGTCACCTGCATCCTCTCCTGAGACAGGCCCCCTCCCCTCAGGGTCCCCAGGCAGATGGCCTTTGTCTCCCTGGGGCTTTGGCCCAAACTGCAGCGTGGAGGCCTCGCCCTTATGACCTGAGTGGGCCAGCATCAAACCCTTAGCCTCAGGGCTAGAGGGTGGGGGTGTGAGACCCATGTAAGGGGGAGTTGGTTGGGGTGGGTGGTGGATGAGTCCTGCCTCCAGCCTGTGGAGGGAAGATGTCTTGTGAGAGAGAATGTGGGGAGGGAGGTGATAAGAAAGACATGCGTGCGAGACACCAGGCTTCTCTCCAGGAAGGCCTTGCCCTCACCTTAGGGAAGGAGGGAGCAGTATCCAAAGCAAATAAAGAGAACTGGTGGGATTCGCTCCTATATGGCCTCTTTGTGTATCCCCATAAGGCTTTCCTTCTATAGAATATGGCCCAGTTGGTGTCTTGAAACATAACCAATCAGTTGCCACCTTACTGCTCCTTTGTGTGGGGAGGGAAGTGTATGCAGAGCTGAAGTCCTGTGGGTCTCTTGGCCAGTATCTCAACACCACGTGTTTGCTCAGTGAGAATTTTGGGGGGATGCAGGGAGGATGGCTTTAGGGTATCCTAGCTGAGGCTTAGGAGCTGAGCATAATTGGCGTAGCTCCCAGAGGGGAGGGCCCCAGCATGGAAGAACGCCAACTAAGGAGGTGCCAGGAGACCCCACGGCCAACTCAGGTGCTTCCACTCATTTGCTGTGTGCTCTTGGCAATACCTCGGACTAGAAGGGCTAGCAGGATGACCTCTCAGGCCCTTCTGACTTTAATTATCTGTGATTCAGGGACACCTTGTGTTTAGCCTGGCCTGCTGGCGTCTCTTTTTACTGGGTTCACATCCTGAGACTGCATTCATAATCTTCAAACCATCAAAGCAGGGAATGGGGTGGGGGGTGGCAGTGCAGTCCCAGCCCTCAGGGGTTCTGATAGAGCTGTGGTCATGCCGACCTTTACCCTGCTTTCACACAGGCAGTGAGCATTCAGGTTTCTCTGCAATGTCAGTGTAAGCCTGAAAATGGCCTTAAACAGAGTGGCTTAAAAAAATCTAACTTTTCCTGCTCTTGGTGCATTCAGATTAACTCAGGGTATAGTAAAAATCAATTGCAAGTAGATTAAAATATAAGCTCTGCCGTTTCCAGGTGGGTAAAGGGGACATTCTCTAGATGCAAGGATGCCAAGACTTAATTTCAGGTACTTTGGACATGTTATCAGGACACCGTGCTTGGTAAGGTAGAGGGTCAGCATAAAAGAGGAAGACCTTCAACGAGATGGATTAACACAGTGGCTTCAACAATGGGCTCAAGCATAACAGTGATTGTAGGGATGGCGCAGGACTGGGCAGCGTTTCATTCTGTTGTATACGGGGTCGCTATGAGTCTGAACCAACTTGATGACACCTAACAACAGCAACAACAAATGCCCAGAATGGGCCCAATGCAGTGCTGGGCACACAATACAGATGGCCTCCTTTGGCTTCTCTGAGAGAGCAGTCAGTTATTTTCTCTGTTTCATCAATGAGAAAATGAAGTTCAAAGAGGTAAGTAAACTACTCAGAGTCACTCACTACCAACACGTGGTCCCTGGTCCACAACCAGGCTCCAACCCAGGAGACCCTGGGAGCCTCGTCACTGTGAGAGCTGAGCTCATCAGTGACCTCGCACATCCCCTCCCCTCTCAGGGAGTTTGCAAAGTGAAGGACTGTCCAAGGTCGCAGAGTCTGACTACAGAAATTCCCTCCACTCTACCTTCAAAATGGCTCAAAAAGCACAAGAGCCGCTCTCCTAAAGGAATTTAGAAAGAGTGTATTGTCTGTCCTGCCTTCTTCTGGACACACACCCTCATAAAACTACAGCAGAAACCAGACATGACCAGCCCTCCTGTGGGGGAATCTGCCAGCCTGTGACACATGGGGCTTCAGGGATAGATGCAGTGTCAAATGAGTGGAGGCCGCCTTTCTCTTTTTTAATTCCTTTTTCCTTATAAGAAAAACCCATTCTGGTCTTTTCTTTTTAACTTTCCCTTAAAACAAATGCAAAAATAACCACCATGTACCCATCACCCAACTACAACAATCAACTCATGGCCAATTTTGTTTTAACCTATACCTCCCTCCATACTGTATTATTTTGAAGCAAACCCAAGACACCGAATCATTTCATCTGTAGAATTTCAGTATGCTCAGATCGTTTAAAAACAGCAGCAGAACTACAGTGAGATACCATTACACATCTATTAGAATAGCTAAAATCCAGAAAGCTCGGCAATATCAGGGGCAAGCAAGGATATGGAGCAACAGGAACTCTCATTAATTGCTGATAGGAATGCAAAAATGGTACAGCCACTTTGGAAGACGATTACACAGTTTCTTGCAAAACTAATCATAGTCTTACCATACAATCCTGCATTCACACTCCTAAGTATTTACCCAAATGAGTTGACAACATACGTCCTCACAAAAACCTGCACGCAAATGTTTATAGCAGCTTTATTTGTAATCGCCAAAAACTGGAAGCAACCAAGATGCCCTTCAATAGGTGAATGGATAAACAAACAGTTATACATCCCTACCATGGAATAATATTCAGCAATAAGAAGAAATAAGCTATCAAGACACAGATGCATCTTAAATGCATATTGCTAAGCCAGTCTGAAAAAGCTGCGTACTATATGAATCCAATTATATGACATTCTGGAAAAGGCAAAACTATGGAGATGCTAAACAGATGAGAGGTTGCCAGCAGTTTTGGTGGCAGGTGATATTGAATAGGAATTTTTTATGGTTGTGCAATTACTTTGTATGATGGTATAATGGGGAATATAAGACATAAAGCATTTGTCAAAACCCAAAGAACTCTAGCAGAAAGAATAAACCTTAATATGTACAAATTCTAAAAAATCATCTAGGAGGTCAGGGGGAAATCCCAGGATGGAATGCAGAATGTGGCAAAAGAATCTAAATGTATTATCAATGTAGGAGACAACCTCACTGAAGGGGATGGGAGAATAAGGTGTTGACCTTAGTAACTTTGGAAATGAGTGGAGACTGTAAGACTGAACACAAAAGGAACTGCACATTAACACTGTACTCTAGTTGATAAAGTTATTTCTCATGGGGTACGTCTAACAGTTCTGAAACCACTATACACATATACTGAAATTGAACAGTTAAATAAGTGGATGACAGGTGGTTGGAGCCAGATTTCTCATTGTTGGAGTGAGAGGTTGCACATAAGCAAGGGGAGGAGGCTAGAATGCTTCTTGTGGTAATAGATTAGAGTTGGAGACATCACTATGAACTCATGCTTAGCTTAATATGGATATAGATGGCTACATATAGATATATTTATAGGTATGTATAAATACATGGGTTAGCATACACACATTTATCTCCCCTTGCTCTGTCAGCCGAGAGTGCCTAGAAGCAACGACAGCCCAGTAGAAATGAGCGCATCTAGTGCACAGATCTTGGTTTCTAATACCATTCTTCAATAAAAAGAAACAGGGCTCTTTGGAGAAATGACTGATTCTAGGACTGGGGCAGGAAGTGTACAAGTTGAGCCTGGAGCATCTTGTACTACTAGAAATTAAAGAAGTGCTAACAAACAAGCAAGCAAGGAAACCCACAGTGGTGGGAGTATGTTAAAGGGACACAGGAGCCAAGTGAAAGATCTCAATGGCCAGAGATGGAACAAATTGACCTACAAAATTAATAAAGTAGCATTGGATTATAACTTAAAGTATGAAATAAATATCATGAGTCCATATTGATACGAATAAATGGGGAGAATAGACAGCTCTCTTGTGCCAAAGAATTCCAAACAATGTACGTTGATACTCTGCTATTAAGAAGGTGGAGCATAACTCCCTACCTCTTAATTGTGGGCTCTGCATAGTGAATTCCTTCCACAGAGAACAGTATGGAAAGGAGGAGGGGAAAAAGTAACTTTACAGTGGAGAAACCTGACAAACACTACCTCAGCGAGGCGATCAAGGGCCACATCAACAGTTCTGGAAAGAAGGCGGAGGACACATGTACCCTTGATATGATGTGATGAGAATGGCACTTCCCTCTGTGAAACCTGAAACCCATACCCCAAGTCTCACCACGAGATAAACATCAGAAAAACCACAGTTGAGGACCATTTGACAGAACACCTGATCGGTGTCAACACCTGACTGTCAAGGTCATCAAAAACAAGGAAAGTCTGAGGAGCCACCACAGCCAAGAGGAGACTAAGGAGACATGATGACTAAATGGGCTGTGGTGTCCTAGATGGGGCCTGGGAACAGGAAAGGGACATAAGGGGAAAACTGTGGAGATTAGAATAAAGTCTAGACTTCAGTTAATAATAATGTATCAATATTGGTTTATTAATTATAACAAATGTTCCATACTAGTTTAAGATGCTAGTAATAGGGAAACTGGGTGTGGGGTATATGGGCCCCATATACAGCAACAATAGCACCTGCTCAGGCACTGCCGCCCTGACCCCACACTGTCCTCCCTCCCTGTAGCTCTCTGCCCTTTGCCCACCTCCTACCCACTCCCGCTGGGAGTGGAGAGGCAGGCCCACAGCTTGAGCTCGGCCTTCTCACCACCAGAGATTTCGCAGGAGTGTCCATAATCCACCTTGAACACAGGTGTGAGAGAACCTAGCCAGAGAGAGTGCCTAGGGCAGACCAGTTCTCTGCTTCAGTTATTCCAGCTATGTTCCACTCTCTTCAGGGGAAATAGTTTACATTCAAAATCAACCCCCCTCAAGCCACAGAGAGGCTGCTGTGAATAAGGAGTCCCACTGCCAGATCATGTCATGAAGTTCAAGTTTGCTACCTATGTGGGCCACCCACCCACACAAGCTGTCCAATCCCAGCCATACACCCACGCTGCTGGTCTAACCAGAGGCTGAGTGAGCATGGAAAACCCCAGTGCTTCCTCATTAAATTTCATAAGCCAGTTCTGCTGTGAAGAATACAGAGGAGAAATGCATTAAAGGATTAAACACCAATATTTCTCTTAATATATTGCCTTCTGACACTGACGGAAAAATGCACGCCCTCAGCAGGTGGGTGTGGCCAGCCGCCTGGGCCCCGAGGAGGCCCTCGGTGTAGAGGTCCCTGGGTGCCACCCTTATAGGTGTGGTGAAAGCTGTCTTTATAGCATCTCAGCCTTCCAAACCCTAAGGCTGTGCTCTGGTGGCTGCAGGGACAGGTCAGAGGCAGCCTGGTGGTGCAGCTACAGGTGTGGCGGATGGGAGGTTCCTTGCACACATGTTCAGCCTTTCTCAGTGTCTTCCAGCCTCCCATCAGCTTTTCTGAGAGCACCCTGGGAAGAACCTTGGCAGGGCCGGCATGGCTTGGGAGCAGGTCTGGCCAGATGGTGGAAGTGGTAGCTTTCGTGGGACTGCCTCCCAAGCCCTCAGGACCCAGGCCCTGGACAGCTTTGGTGTGAACTCAGAGGGCTCAGGCAGAGCCTGGGCTTTGGCCTGGGTGAAGTCTCACACCCCATCTTGGCAGCTAGCTCTGTCCCACGTGTCCCGACATGCAGAGCCAGTAGAAACCACTGCCTCCTCAGAGCCTTCAGGGCCTTCTCTGAGCTGACGAGTGGTGAGGGCTGCCCTCGCCTCAGTGAGTGGCCCCACTTCCACTTCAAGGATGCGCCATCCCCTGGCCTCATTGTACCTTCTACACCCCAGCCTTCTGCTCTACAGCTTCCCCGGCTGACTGAGGTAGAGGTTTGGGCTTCTGAGTGCTTCCCCTGGAACTCTTCAGCCCTCCCACCGTTGTTCTCCCTCTCTGGCTGCTGACTCTCGGGCCTCCTCACTTCTCCTGCATTTAGTGTCTGCACACCCTCCTCTCCCTCCCAGGGTCTTTGATAAGGATGAGGTGAAAGCAGCCGGTTTGTTTAGCATCCTCCTGCCCTGAATTCGTGCTCCTCCTCCTTCAGTCTTGTGTTGCTGGACCACAGCAGTAACAGCAGAGAGGTAGCGAAAGTCTCAGCCATAGTGTTCAGGTCCATAGCTATTCAACCGAAGATTAATTTCATTCACTCTTGCAGACCCACACCAGCCAGGCCAACAGGATGTGGGTTTTCCTTCTTTGGCTGGAGTGAGGCGGGTTTTTGTAGTGGTTAGAGACCTTTGAGTGGAGCAGTGGGGAGTTGAGTTGGCTTGTAAAGGAGAAGTGAGGTTAGATCAGCCAACCTCTGCAGTCCTGTAACAGAGAGCCCCTGTGATCACCGGGCACAGCCACTGTGAGGAGGCAGAGCTTCCCTGCTTGGGGTCTGCATGTCCAAGAGAGGTGCACATCTGGCAAAGGTCACGTCCAGTGTCATGTGCAGGAACTTCTGAGAAGACCATATAGCCTTTGCTCCTCCGACAAGAGCCTGGCTCAGCCTGGGGTGCCCTGGCCGACTCGGCTCCATGAGCCCAACCCCGCTTCCCTGTAGTAGGTAGCCGAGTAGAGCTGGTGCTGGAAAGTGTGGGCGGTCACTTACGCCCAGCATTGTGCCCACGCCGCCTGCTGTTCCCATAGTATATGGACTGTGAGAGCATTTCCCCTGACATGTGGTCTGGGTATACCAGGGCAACTGGTCACCCAAACAGAAGGGCCCAACGAAGAATCCTGAGGAAGTAGACTGGACTGCTATGGCTTACTAAACATTGGACTAAGGCTTCTATGTACACTGACCCACAGAAAGCAAACACATAGATTACTTTTTCAAAAACTCGTTGTTAGCTGCTGTCTAGACGGCCTCCAACTCATACCGACCTCATGCACAACAGAACGAAACGCTGCCCGGTCCCATAGGGCTTCTTAAAGTTGCTTGTGTCTCATAAATCACAGATTCCTCACACAGCTACGATGTGAGAGTATCACCCCTCCCTCCTCTTTTCTTCACTGAAATTCTTAGGGAAATAGTTATGGGCCCCAACAGCCAAGAACGCCTTGAGGCTGTGTTTAGAAGAACTAACAGTTCCTGTGTTTCCTGCCCCCTGTGAGAATCAGGTGTTACAGTCTGAGATGCCTATTAAAAAACAAGTGGGCTGGGCCGCTGGGCCGAGAATGCTGGGTACAAGCTGTGTGGAAACAGGTGGCACCTCCCTCTTGGCATTTCCGCTTCTCATGTGAGTGGAGGCTTTGCAGAAAGTCAGGCAACAGCATGTCCCTTTGCCTTCTCCCCTCCACCACAAACAATCCCAAAGCTTATGGCAGCATCCGGCCAATGCCTGTCTCAGGGCAAGCTCCTTTGTAGCCTTGTGGGTCTAACCCATTTGCAGCTGAAGTGAGCCTCACTGCAGGAGAGGGTGGTCATTAGGATATCACCCTGCTAACTTCCAGGCCAGCCTCAGAGAACAGACTTGCTTTGCTAATCACCTTCAAAGCAAAAGAAGAGACCTCAGCGCTGTACTTCAGAGCTAATAGAAAGGTGGCTGACTTTCAGAACATATAAGCATGACGGAAAATGTTTTTATTTGCTTTCTCTCTGTCCTCATTGCAGATGGCTCAAACTGAAGATATAACCCACGAGATTATTGGCTTTCTTGACCAGACCTTATACAGATGGGATCAGCTTTGCATTGAAGCCCCTAGACCCAGAAAAGTGGCCAGAGATCTCCTCACAGAGCTGCTGGCTCAGGTCAAGCACAGCCCTGTGGATCATGTGGCTGCAGTGCAAGGAAGGTCAGGCTCACCGAGGCCTCGGGACGAATGTCACGAGTTTGTGCAGTAGTGCCTGAGTGTGAGGATGAGCATGACATGTTGGGAAGGTCCCGCACTACATATTGCACAGAATGGGCAGTCGTGGTGCTTCAGCCCAAACTGGACGATGCCTTCAGCATTCCCCGTGCCTGCGTGTGTAGGACATTAATTAGAGAAAGCACTGAAGAAAGGTTTAGATGGGAAAATTGATTTTTCTTTTTCCCATATCAAGCCAAGATGCACAACTATTATTTGAATTTTTCAAAGTCTTTGACCAAGGAATTGGTTGTGAACCACTGGTGAATTTAGAAAGACTTAGCTCTTTTCTGGAAGCCTTTTTTGTTTTTTTTTTTAGAAGTCAGATAATTGCTGTTGTTATTTCTTTTGATCCACTGGGATCTGAGGCTCTCTTTGTATAAGATAAAGCTAGACTTTCTTCCTTCCCTAGGAAATTCTTTACCCAAAAGAGTGAAAATCCTTCAAGTTTCCCACAATACGATGCCATTTCACTACCACTAGGATGGCTAAGATAAAAAGAAAAAACAGAAAATAACAAATGTCGGTGAGGATGTGGGGAAATTGGAACCCTTATCTATTGCTGGTGGGAATGCAAAATGGTACAGCTGTTGTGGAAAACAGTGTGGTGGTTACTCAAAAAACTAAAAATAGAACTACCATATGACCCAGCCATTCAACACTTAGGTATATACCCGAAAGACTTGAAAGCAGAGACACAGAGACTTGTACACCAATGTTCACTGCAGCACTATTCACAGTAGCCAAAAGGTGGAAACATCCTAAATGCCCATCAACAGATGAATGGGAAAACAAAATGTGGTACACACATACAATGGAATACTACTCAGCCAGTAGGAGAAATGAAGTTTCGATACATGCTACCATATGGATGGAGCTGGAAGACATTATGCTGAGTAAAGTGAGTCAATCACAAAAGGACAAATATTGTATGACCTCACTTATGTAAAAAGACAAGAAAAGGAAAATGTATAGAGAACACAGTTTATTAGTGGTTGCCAGGTGCAGGAGGGAGGGGAAAAGTGGGGGGGGGTTAACGGCGAAATTAAATTAACTAAGGGTAGAGTTGAATAGCTGATTACTGTAATTGCTGTAAGTTGTACACCTGTAAAAATTTGAATTAGCAAAAGTTGTGTGACAGATACACCTAGAATGACACACCAAAAAAAAACTGCTGAGGCTGCCTATGTACAACCAAAAACCTCATGGGATTTGGTTCCTTGGTTTGGAGGTTTAGGATCATGGTTTCATGGGACATCCCAGATAGTTGGCCTAATAATGCATGTTTAGTACTTCTGTTCTACCTCGTAACGCGTGTTTAGTAGTTCTGTTCTACCTCCTAGTTCGTTGCATAGTGCTTGGGGTCTTAAAAGCTTGCAGTTGACCATCACCAACACAACAATTGGTCTCTACTCACCTGAAGCAACAGAGGAAGAAGGAGAATCAGGAATAGGAGGAGGATATGGAGTGTGTGGCTAACTGCCTCCATGAACAACTCCCTCCTTTGCCATGAGACCAGAAGAACTGGATGGTGTCTAGCTACCATTACTGAACATATTGATCAAAGATTCTATAGAAGAATCCTGATCGAAAGAAGGGAAATGCAGAACAGAATTTCAAATTCTCATAGACTCTAGACTTTCTGGAGTCATGGAGTGTGGATGAATTCCTGAAACTATTTCCCTGAGATAATCTTTAAAACTGAAACCAATAATATCCCCTGAAGTTATCTTAAAACCGAACAGTAGTTTAGCTTAACTAGTGAAAAAGGTCTGCTCTTATGAGAACTATCTGTATGGGATCAGATTGACAGCGGTAACTCAAAAGATTGGGTGGGAACCTTAGGGGGCAGTGAGTTTATGTTAATAAGGGAGGAGCAACTCAGAAAAGGGGAGTGAGAGTGGTTACACAATTTGAAGAATATAATAAATGTCATTGAATTGTACATGTAGAAGCAGTTGAACTGGTGTATGTTTTGCTGTGTATATTCTCAACAACAACAATAAAATTTAGAAAAAAAAGAACTGAGGAAAAAAAAAAAGATCCTTGCAGTTTCTCTTGAGCCGCCCCAACCTGTCTGACCGGGGGAGGCAGAGCACACCAGGGACAAGCAGAGGTGATGGGCCACCAGGCAAGGGTGGACACATGCTGCCACCTACCGTGAGGGTGGCATGCCTTAGGGTGAAATAAAGCCAGTCCTGCTGGTAACCCATTTTTTTTTTTTTTTTTTTTTGTACTTTAGATGAAGGTTTACAGAACAAGTAGTTTCTCATTAAACAGTCAGTACACTTATTGTTTTATGACATTGGTTAACAACATCACGACACGTCAACACTCTCCTTTCTCAACCTTGGAGGACCTTTTTTTGGTGAAAATATACATAGACAAAGTTACACCATTTCAAAACTTTCTACATGTGCAATTCAGTAACATCGATTACGCTCTTACAGTTGTGCTGCTATTCTCACTATCCTTTTCCAAATTATTCCATCACCATTATCTTCAACTCACTGCCCCCTAGGCTTTCCATCAAATCTTTTGAGTTGCTGTTGTCAGTTTGATCTCACATAGATAATTCTTTTTTTTTGTACCTTAGATGGTTTGCAGAACAAATAGTTTCTCATTATACAGTTAGTACACATATTGCCCTATGACAATGATTAACAACCCCATGACATGTCAACACTGTCCCTTCTCAACCTTGGGTTCCCTATCACGAGCTTTCCTGTCCCCTCCTGCCTTCTAGCCCTTGTCCCTGGACTGCTGTGCCTCTTTAGTCCTGTTTTGTTTTATGAGGCTGTCCAATCCCCAACTGAACGGTGAATTTCGGGAGGGGCTTCATGCTGGTAACCCATTTTGCTAAGTATTGACTGCTATGAAAAGAGTTCATATTACTTCAAAGTTGGCCAACAGGTGAGGTTATAGGATGTGTTTTAGAAACATTACAAGGGATTATTACATCATTTGTTCTGTTCAACTAAAAGGGGAATTTAAAGTTCGTAATAATTGGAGCCTGGTGGCACAGTGGTTAAGAGCTTGGCTGCTAACCAAAACGTCGGCAGTTTGAATCCACCAGCCACTCTTTAGAAACCCTATGGGGCAGTTCTACTCTGCCCTATAGCGTCACTGTAAGTCGGAATCCACTCGATGGATCGCAATGGGTTTAATAAAGAATTGGAAACCCCAATGTTAATACTTATTTCACATCACTTGAGGATATTTTTTTCCTTGTAGATTTATTCTTAGCTTGTATTAACTGTACATTCTTTTGTGTATATTTTGTCAAGTGAGTCAAAACTTTCTTTTAAGTCCACATTGATTCATGCATGAGCAATCTCTGAATCTCACTTAGTCTTGGCTCCTGTACTGAGGTATGAATAGAGTTTTTTGGATCAGAAGTTGAGCTCTGAGGGGAATTGCTTGTTTCAGTGCATGGCAGTCCTGATGGATCCACCTAAAGATCTGGAAAATTCCAAGGACTTTTGATGGACGACTTTCTTCTGAGAAATGTTACAGCGAGAAAGGTACACTGTTAAAATACTTTTACACAGCTACCATCATCATTGTTTTCATATAAAAATGCTTCATCAAAATGTGTAGTGGTTGAAAAATGAGTTGTGTGCTTCACTTGGAGCTGAAGACATCTGTCCCATTGCTGAGTTTGAACCAGAGCTTGGGGATCTTCCACAGAGGCTGTGGTATCATCGGAGGGCCTCAATTTGGTAACAGAGAGTAGCCCTAAGTAGGGGGCCACTAGGAATCAGACCACCCTGTCGTGGGTCTGATCCTACATGATAATCCATTCACACTGCAAGGTGGTCATGTTTAGCAGAGTTCTCTACCTCTGCCTATCCTTTCTGCTCAAGGTGTTTCACAGCAAACAATAAAAACAGACTGTTTAAGCTACATTTCTGGAAGATTCCTTCCTATTCTGACCTCACCCCATCCTGTTTTTCGCATCTCCCATTTCCTTTACAAGGCTTCTAAGCCTCTGTGCTTTAGACACTCAGTTGAGTTGGCAACTGACCAGACTCTCTGAAGCTGACAGAATTGAGCACTCATTCTAATGAATCATGGACAACCCTCACTGTCCGTGAATACTTTCCTCAAGGTGTTAACGAGGCACTGGTTTCTTTATTGGTTTCATTTTTTTCCTCTTGCCCTTCCCTCCTCTGACAAAGGTGCTGATGGGAGAAATGCTCAAAGGTGGGAAAGGAAAGGAAAGAGGCATTGGGATCAAGTCCTTTCCATAGGCTAGATGAGTAGCTCCAAAGCCTCACCAGCTGAGTTCTCTCAAATTAGGCTGTGTTCTCAGTGTGGGCACTAATTGCATTGGAGGGGAATCCATCCATGTCTGGTTATTCTATCATGTCATTCACTTTAATAAGTAACAAATCTCCCAAAGTGTGTAGAGGGTGAGCAGGGACTTTCCTGGAAAACCAGAGAAGACGGCCATATTGCTTTCTCAGTTCATAGGCAAGCCCACGCCCATGACGAGGAAAGAAACCAGGTGGGCCAGAGAGTCGGGAGTGTGGGGACATCTGAAAGTCACTTAGTAAGCTCTACCTCCTCTTCCAGTTGCCTTGGATTTTTTGAAAATTCTGGACATGTGGGTTCTTTCATTTTTTTGAAAGAAGTACAAAGAAGTAGGAGTCCAGCTAGACATAAGGGCTGGTGAAAATGATCAAGAAGGCATGGAGCAAAAGAGCTGCAAAGGCCCTTCAAGACCACTGACCCTCATCCCCTTGTTTGAAACCCGACAGCCCTGAGGCCCGAGGTGCACGGGAAATGGTAGCATTGAGACCAGAGTTGCATCTTGAATTGACTAGATTTGTTAGTTCTTTCCACCACACCAGTATATGGGGCGGTCAGGATGCTGTCCACCTCAGCCAACAGACCAGCCAACAAAATGGAAACAGTTGATGGTCTCAGATACAGAAACCCAGGAACTGTTGAGTTCAGTGACTCAACAAGGTCACAACTTGAGGTTGACCTCACTGACCTTCTCCTGGCATTCTGCCATGCCCATCCTTTCACGACTACATCCAGAATGAGAAGGAAAGCACAGCAGGCTTTCCTGCCTTCCCACCAGCCCCATCAGACTTGCCCTCAGTTACATTGGCGAAACTTGAGTCAGAAGAACAGGGGTGGGCACTGCCCTGATGGGCTAAGACCAGAGTCAGATTTGTCACAGTACATGAGTCTTCACTGCTCGGCCCCTCACAAGGCCCTTCAAGAAGAACTAGCACTGTGTTCACATGGTCATACGTTTTTGTAAAGTCTGTACGGTAGGATATTTAAGATGAGTTTCTCTGCACTCCCCTTTCCCTCCCTTCAAGCCAGGCTGCGTTGGAATGGCTGGGGCACTTCTGGGACCTGCTAAGGCAAACTTGAGTTTGAGGTGGGTTAACTTGGGTTCCAGAGATAGTTTCTTTGTGGTTCACAGTCGGTTTAGAGATAGTCAAGTTATTGTAGCTGTCCCAATGAAGGAATAGCTTCCAAGGATACCACAACCACCCCATGCCTACTCCCCTG